ACGAAGTGTCTCACTAATTAACCTCTTTATAGCTTAAAAGAGCTTAAATCCGTTATTTTTTACATTTTTATTAAATGTATATACACTTAAAGGCCTCTTAATAGCTAAAATTAAATATATTTACCTTTATAAAGCCATGTAACATGAAAAAAATCATGCTTTTATACCCGTATAAGCAATTTACATGTAAAGGTCTGGGTGGGGACTGTCCCGGTGTTTTGTGGCTGTCCCGGAATTTTGTGGCCAACTAAGTGGCTAGCCCACTTAGTTGCCAACGGGTACATTAGAAGTCTCGCAGCCTCAACGCGATTAACGAGCTGCCCGGCGGCGATTGAGGGCATCGCGATATGAAGGTTAAAAAGGTTAAAATCTCGGCCTACGAACCTCACCAGGTGGGTTATTAGGCCGGCAGGTGTTATCAGCTACCTGCTCACGTGTGCTAATTCGTCATCTATTAAAAATTCGCCGTTAAAGACCTCTAATACGGCTTCTTGTGAGGCTGCTAGAATGTTATCACCAAAGTCACTTGAGGTAACCAGGTATTGTGGGTCCCGTGACCTCGTTGGAGCCTTAACTGCTCTGAGGGGATGGAGAGACGGGCGGAAAGCGTGGGGGTTTAGGCAAATCAAGCTTCTAGGTAGGCGATGGTGGCGGTGGCGTGATGTTCCCCTTTGGTGCGTCCCCTACCCCCCTGCCCAGATCTCGATTGATTGGGCGCGAAATGAGGCATTATGAGTTCAAGGCTGTTGTTTGCGGCTTTGTTCGAAGAGAGGAGTAAGCTGGGTGCTTCAATGGTCTCAACTTTCTTGTCCTCACGTGCTCATTGTCTTAGTACTTGGTGGCACTGGGCACATTTGCAAGCGTGGGGACCCCCGCCCACGCGCCAGCTTTTGAAAGAGCTTCCATGGGGTAATCCGTGTGCTCTGGGAGTACCTTCTGCATTACCTGGGCGGTGGGACATCAATAATTGATGGAGTCTGGTACGGAGTACATAACTACTTCGTACCTGGTAAGGAAAGGGCTAGCGTGTCGGAGCAATTGGAGGTCCGGCCGAGTCGATGATCCCATCAACCTATTCACCCAAGTCCAAGTCCAAGGTGAGTGGTGAGTTGCGAGTGGCTAGTCGTGTTCCTCTGTCAGCGGCGGGCGCAGGGGCTCTTAACTCAACAATCAACCACCTCCAACATACGTATCTAAAGCTACTTGGGCTTCCATTCATCCATCTACTCGAGTGCCTCGCACAGAGAGTGCTGCCGCGCTCCAGCCATCTGAGTAGTATCCCGCTCCGGCGCAAGCTTTGACGCCGTGATACCGTACCACGCGTTGCGCCCTCCCCGCACGGGGTCAACTGTCTCAAGCAACTTGCCCCGTATACATACCTAGGTCCATGAGAGGGAAAACGTGCTTATTACCCGCCTCGCAAGGCAGACCATTAGCAACGTAGTATCCAGCGAAGCCCAGCCTCCACAAAGCCGCCTTGATCACAGATATGACCAGGCACGCAGAATGGCGGAAGCCCCCCTCATCCCAATTCGCACGGAGCACTTTGCGAGGCCTGTCCAGCAAGGTAGCCACCCATCAGACGAGTCATCACAACTGGCTCGAATCACTGCCCCGGTCTGGCAAGGCAGATGTGCCCCGTCAATCGGCTGCCAGCCAGCCTCGTCGCCTCGGTTCCCGGAGACACATGATGAAATCGCACATTCGGACGACGTCGCACATAACATCTTGACCTGCGACCTGGGATACCCAATTGAACTAGTTCATGGACAAGCCTGTCCTCGGCTCGGTCCATTTGTAGATCAGTCGAACCATATAAAGGGATCCACCGTCTCTCCTTTTTGTTGCAATGTCTTTTGCCTTAATCCTGCCTGCTCCTTCTTTCCCCAACTTGGCTCCTTCCTCGTCAACATACACAACCCACCACTTGTCCTCGTGCTAGTTCCTTCCTATTCTTTTTATATACCCCCTCCATCTCCTGCGCCCCTCATCCTCTTCCATCCCATCAACCCCAGATTCCAACCCCCTCCCCAAAACTCAATCCTCAGTCAACCCGCTTTCCGATCGTTGTGGAAAATGGCTGCCCCTGCGGACAAGACTTTGAAGAACCTCAACGGCCAGTGGACCGTGGTAAGTGGTGATGACCTCTCCAACTCCCAAAAGGGGGGGGGGGCTCAAGGGAATCGAAAATCATGCGGTAGGGACGAGCGGGGTAATTCACATGGGATGATGCTCGTGTCTCATCACCAAAATTAACAGCTGGGACATGTTTCTGCACGCGCGAGTCCGCGTGGGCAATAAATAGCTTTTGGGGAACAAATTGCTAACTGCGGGCGGCGGCGGGCCGGGGGGAACAAATTCTAGAACAAGGAGTTGTCTGAGTCTGCCGATCCGGCCCTGACCATCCAGGGCATCGGCTACCTTATCCGCACGGGGATTAGCTATGCCACCATCAGCCTCAGCGTGAACCAGTACGAGGCTCCTCCCAAGCCCCCGAACGAGTCTACCGACACCGTCGTCCACATCGACATCGACCAGTCCGCCTCTGGCCTCACCAACACCCAGGAGAACCGGTGCCTGGACAACACCTACCGCGACCACACTGACTGGCTGTTTGGCCACGTCAAGGGCCGCAGCACATGGGTCGGCCGGGACGAGATCGAGGACGCCTACCTGAAGAACGGCTGGGAGGCCGAGGCTGACGGCAAGCTCATCTTCAGCCACGTCGAGAGCTTGGATGCCGGCTGGACGGCCACCCAGGTCTGGGGTTTCCAGCTGGTCAATGGCGAGCGCCGGTACTGCCGCAACATTGTCGTCGCCAAGGGCAGCGAGCGGGCCGAGTTCCGCCTCGTCTACGACTACAACGTCTAGGTCTTGCAAGGCCGGTCGGAATCATGAGCGCATTGATGAAATTGTTGGGAAGGTGGAATGCGGCAAGGGAAGCAAGATGAGGAGCTCATCGTCCATTATGAAGCAGGACTAATACGTATTTCATGACGCTATGCGCGTTGGGCAATTACCGAGGCCTATCTTGTTTGTAATCCTCGGCATATATGCATCGTGTACCGGCAGCTGATGGGTCTCAGCGAGCCGGCTGATGCACTAATATTCCCACATTAGTCGGGTTTCTGTAGTCACGCCAAGCAAGCACGTAAACTTGTACATGTTTACTCATAAATATAATCCTGGACATTCGAGGCCGCCGTTGCGCCAGCGCCACGGCATTGGAAGCCGATATGAATGCCTAACTAGTACTGCTGCATCGTTGCACATTTGTTAATACGTGGCATGCTACAGTCTGGCAAGGTCAATTTGCCCTTCGTCTGATCCAATACGTACTGCCTCCCTTGCTGTATCGGCACTCGTTCTATATTGTTACAACCTACCAGCACCCCATAACGGGTGATATCCCACGGCTCCTGTTATGGTACAATCCTCCTCTGCTTCATGATATGAATCCTCGGGGCCATCCTCGGCCCAACCCACCAACCTCCCGTATACTTCCTCACCACGCCCCTCAACCACCTCATGTCCGCCCCCAGCCCAAGAGCTCGGTACTTGTCCTCGCCTTCCCTCTGTCCCGGCCTCAACACCTCGATTCCGCTATATCCATACACGACCCCGACCACATCCCACTCTCCCAACGCGAGCGCCGCATCCTCAAGCAGCACGTAGTCGAACTGCTGCCAGAAAGTCGGCCACCCGAGCTTCTCACTCTTCTCCGTCTTATCAAACAAGTAAACTGTTTTCCCTGTAGCTTCTATATCCCAGGAATCATTCAGTGCTAGCGGCAGACCGTGCTTATTCTGGTTGAAGAGTGTCAGGCCCGTCATGCAGGTCAAGACGTCGGCGTGGACGGTTATTGGTGTTGCGGTCTTGTCCGTCAGGCTGTATAGCTGAGTGAGGGCTTCGCCGCCAGGGTAGTTTAGGCTTGAGAGGAGAAGCATGCCTGTGCTTGCGGATAGCGTAGCCAGGATGGAGAGGACGAGCGTGAAGGTTGCGAGCTTGTACATGAGGGACTTGGAGACGTGTGTCGAGATGTAGTTGGCGGATAGGGAGGCGGACAGAACGAGCGGGGGAACGGCGTAGAATATGAAGCGCGTTTCTTTGTGCGGCTGCAGCGAGTAGATTGCTATGTAGGACAGGCTGGGAAGGAGGAGGGCCTTGGTCTGGCGGCACAGAGCCGGATGGAAGGCAGAGAAGAGTATCAGTGGGAAGGCCAGCGGGTTAAGGAGGAGCCGTGGCAAGGCCGACGTCAAATAATAGTGCCAGGGGGACGTGCCCCAGTCCGAGGACGAGCCTTGCACGGCGTTGAAGTAGAAGCCCCAGAGTTCGGGCCACAGGGGCTTCTGCCAGAAGTAGCTGTCTATGGGCACGGAGACGAGAAGCGAGGCCGCGGCGGAGATGGCGCCCACGAGAATGACGGTCCGCAGAGGCAGCTGTTTTGCGAGCAGGAGGTAGACCGTGGTCGTCGCTAGGAGGATGGCGATTTCGGAGCGGAATACGACTCCCGCGAAGGTGAGAATACTGAGAGCCTGTTTGGCACGGACGGTGGCTTGTCGAGGCGTGGCTTTCGGCAGGAGGAATGCAAAGGCAAGCGTTGCTACGAACAAAACGAGTCAGCATCATGTATAAATCCGGGGCCCGTCAAAGCTGGTGCCGTACTTAGTCCAAAGGCAAACATATTCGGCAGGGTTCTTCCCAAATAATACACCAGATGGAATTGGCTCATCATCAGTGCCGTCCACCACCTCCCCGTCCCCTTACCATATGCCTGTTGAACGGCATTCTTAAACACGACCAAACAAGAAGCGTTGAACAAGCACAGCACCCATCTCACTACGAGCTGGGCATGTTGAAACCCTACGAGCGCAATGACAGGCTGGCCCAGGCCCGCGAGGAGGACCGAGCCAATAAAGGTCCGCGGCACCGCTCCAGGGAAGCTGAAGTGGTCATATGTCTGGAGCAAGCGTTCATGGACGTTGGACGTCGGCGTGCCGTAGATGAGAATGTCATGTGCTGCCTGCAGATTAAACGACTCTTCGACCTTTGTGTGCGGAGCGACAAGGATATGCAGCGTGGGAAGGATGAATATGAAGGACGTGAGCAAGGCGTCTGCATCTCACCAGTTGGCGTTTTTATGAGTTGAAGCAAGCTGGGTGAGTGAGTGACACGTACCGACGAGCACCATTGTGATGCAGCACACAGATACAGATGAAAACGAAACCGACACTAGACCATTTCCTTGGATTTTTTTCTAAGGGAAATATGAGGAGATCCTTCTAGGTACTAAATAGTCAGTCAACCTTGGATGAATGAATGAATGAAGGGCAAGTGAAGAAAGTACGAGGTATAAGACATGATAGGCAGGGGCACTTGCCCACATTAGCTACAATACGTAGGTAGCTCCAGGATCCCTCTCACCGGATCGGCGCAACCATCCCCCGCCACGTATTCACAACCACCCCCATCCATCAGACAAGCCCGTCGCAACAGCCTGTCCTCGCCAGAACTACACAACAAGGACTAGCACAATGTTGTTCTTCGGCAGCTTCCTCTACATCACGGTGCTTCTGATCAACGCCGTGGCCATCCTATCCGAAGACCGCTTCTTAGCGCGCAGTACGTTCATTCCCCTTCCGCCGGTAGCTACAGACGAAAGACATACGTGGAAGCCCAGACGATGGTCACCGGCGTACTGGTAGCTAAAACTCATTCTCCAGTTAACCTCTCTCCGGCCTCGTACGATCCTGCCTTTGGCACTGGCGCCGATGCGAGCATCAAGGCAAAGATCATCCATTTAATCGCTAGCATTCGGACAATTATGAGGAGTACGGTTTTACCTTTTCTTTCTCTTCTTTCCTTCCTGCCTTGTGGGCATTGGCTAGGCGAACAACGCTGACGAGGGGCACAGTGCCGTTAATATTTGTGAACTCGGTCGTTATTCTGTACGAGTTGATACTGGGATGAGCGACACGGACGACAAAAGAGGTGCGACCATAGTCCAAAAAGGAAGAATCACAGGCGTTGAGGGTGTAATTTACGGGGCCAATGATAGGCATCATGGCATGGCTGGGCAATTTATGAAACGCAGGAAATGGCCATGTAAACGGTTGGTGTATCTGGCATGACCTGCACCACCATGTACACATACACGATTAAAAAAACAGTCGACGTAATTCAAGATCAGAAAAAGGGATGTGTTAATCTCCAAAGAGAGAACAATTGCAGATACCCACCTTGATTGGGCATCAAGTGCTCGTCCTATCGCGCTAGCCAACTAAAAGGACTATTTCTCTTCCAAATCAACGCCTTTCCGCGGTGCTATATGCTTCAAGTTACACTGCCCTCATATCGAGGAAGAACGTCGCTCCTAATGCTATTTTGCTTCCCACTAATGAAACCTCTAGGCCTGTGAGCTCCTGAACAGACATAAAACGTGTACAAGCCCCAGCCAGGCAATGACCCATCATCAATCGTACAAGGCTGAAATCCATTCCGAAACATTTGCGCAGGGTTTTTCTGCCCTGCCTGTACATTATAAACCTGCAGTCATATTGAGCCACTCGCTATCATGGAGACAGTAAATTGGCGCTCTTCTTTCGACCTAATCCCACGCTGAGCCGGCTCTTGCCAGCTTTTTCTGGCTTCTCCGGCGTATCGCTGTTCTCATTGTCCATCGCAGTGCTGTCGCTGTTTGCCTTGTCCTTGTGGAAAAAGCTAAAGCTCTTCCTCGACATGGACTTGCTACCTCTCTTGGATCGGTCGAGAAATCCCATCGAGCCTGATGCAGAGCCATTCTCCTTCTTCCTGGCACCCTCTTCCTGAGCTGCCGTCTTCTTGCTGGCATCTAATGCCTTTTGGAACTCTTCCTGTTCAATTCTGCGGGTCTGAATCCTGTGTACTTGCTCTTCACGCCGTCGTCTTTCGTCTTCTTTAGCTTGCCTCTCTCTAGCCTTCTCTTCCTCCTTTGCTGCTGCTTTGGCCTGCTTCTCTCTATCCTTCTCTGCCTGCTTGGCGGCCTTTTCCGCGGCCTCGCGCTCCTTCTTCTCTCTCTTCTTGTCTTCTCTGCTCTGCCCATCCTGTTTCGCCGTTGATGTCCGGGTAGAACCTGCAGCTGCCAATCCCACTGGGAGGCTGGGTATTTCGCCCGCCTGGGGAGTCGAAGTGGACATATCCGGCGCGGTCTGAGCGTGAGCGAGACTTGACAATGAATCTTGTTCTGGGATAGGCGGCGCCGGTTGCGTTGCCTGTCTCTTCAATGGGGTAGAGTCTCCTTTGTCACTGTCTTCGTGGGCTACGTTCGCCGCCTGTGTTGCCAGTTTGACCTCTTCCATTCCCTCCTTTTCTTGCTCTTCTCTTACCTTTTCGAACGTAGTCTCCTGATAAAACAAAACGTATGCCGTGGCCATGCCCGGCTTGTCTCCAAAAAAGTTACGTACAAAGTGCTTATCGACAGGCTCGACCATTTCATCATCAAAGAGAAGCCACCCCCTGTCCTTGGTTTTAATGATCGAAACATAGTGGCCATGGTATGCATTGCCACCGATGTGTACGACGACAGCATACAGCTCATAAAGCCGATCGGGGTCCTCTGCATCATCTGTAGTGTTGAACATGCGGAGGTGATATGGATAAACCACTCGATGGAAAAGCTTTTGTAGTCGGCTATAGTCCTCCGTGTATTTAAATCTCTTCAAGTGTAGAGTCAAAATCTTGGGCAGACGCTTGACCTTCATGCGCTTTTCGGCTTCTTGCAAACCGCCGCAATGGTCACAGTGAAACTTGTTTCGCTCGCACAGCATTTCCTCGGCTGAAAACTTCCGCAGGCACGATGTAACGGAAGCGTGTTCTTCGAGATCAATGGACAGGTCGAGGAATGTCTCATCTCGTTGTGATGCCGTTTCACATGTTAGACACCTCGTCTCGGATGTTAACACGCCTTCAAAGATATCGTGCACCCATCCAATTCCAGGGGATTGATAGCCTGCTGCTCCATGATTCAGAGCGGCAGCACCAATAATATTTTCTACCGACTGGGTCAGACCATCCTGTCTTCTGGCTTTCCCCAGTTCTTGACACTTACGGGCGGTCTTTTCCACGTTGGCAATGACATCGTTCAACACCAAACCGTAAAACTCGTGTGCGTCCTGATGCATGGAATTTCGAAACATTTCGTTGTCGCGCTTGAATATCTCTAAAAATCGTTGTGGGCTCAGCACTCCGGTTCTAGTATTGCTTTCGAGAAGAGCCAGGAAGATGTCCTTCAGTCCAGTAAATGTACATTCATCCATGCCGTACGCAGCTCCATTCTGACTCGCCAGCTCCAATATGGGGCCTTTTAGCATGGCTTGTTTTTTCTTATACTCAGGTGTATCGGGTTTGTCTTCGGGCTTAACGGCCTGCCCAGCGGGAGTCTGACCGACGTTCATCGCCTGTCGTTGCTTGAGAGCCTGCGAAGCAGTCTGATTCTTCTTGTTTGGCTGCAGGGTCGGCGGATTCGGGCTCATGGGAGGTCGAATTGTCACACTGACTTTGGGTCGTGTTCCGTTTGGCGTGTTTGACGGGGAGTACGGAGGATAGTTTATAACGCTCTCTCTAAATAAATCAGAGTAGAATAAGGCTTGGACAATAGAGTTGCAGTAACTGGGATGCTGTTGTTAGTGAACTGGTCTAAAGAGGAAAGGGCCATCTAATGCTGATTTCCTACCACGTATTTCCAAACTTTAGTTTGCATTTGTTAGCTGACAATTTCCTCAATTATCCTGGTGGAGGTCTCATGGGCATGTGTGCGACACTTACATTCTCAAAACCAAAGAATTTGTCGCTTCCATCTTCACGCAACGGACCTGCGTTTTGCAACATCTTTTCAAGAGGGGTAACTTCGAAAATAACATCATCTTTCTTTTTCGCTTGAGCATCTTTGGATGGTTGGTTCGGTAGGGCCTTGTAAGAGGCATTTTGTCAGCACAGCAACCGTCATACCCGGCTTGGCGACAAGTGAGTGGACCGGAAACAGACAATTGATGGGGAGCGCTGTTGCCGAGCCAAATGGGCTGAGCGGGAAAGACAGAACTGAATCAAAAAATTGAAGAGGGAAACATTCAACAGGAAAAACATACCGAACTGGCACTCTTAATTTTGGTCAAGAACCCAGCCATGTTGCGTCGCTGGCAGATGTCTAGATGCGGAGACGGTAACAGGGCACGTCGAGACCTCGCAGCAACGACGTCAGTTCAGCTGCTGGGCGGGATCAGCAGCCACAGCTGCGCAGCGCCCGCAATGCGATATCGGTGACAATTGATGCAAGGTGTCATTCGCATGAGAGCCGTTCTGATTGTATTGTCGAAGCGAATTGCGAGAGACAGGTGGTGAAGAGTGCAGGCTGGAACAGAAGAGGGGAGTTTGCACTTTTGCTCAGCCGAGTCAGGGCGTCGAGTCGAGTTGGAGCGGCGAGTGACCCTGGGGCAGAGACAGAAGCGGAGGGATGGTGTGGCTTCGAGCGCAAAACGTGGTTGCGTGGGATGGCAGGATGGGGATGGATGGTCTCCTTGTCTAGTCTCCGTACTCCGTACGGGGTAGAAAGTGGATGACGGTGGGATGGGATGGGATAGGTACGGAGTACTTCGGGCAAAAGTCGATAAAAGCGCCCAGGCCGGAAACAGGCTGCGAGACTGACTTGTTTTAATTGTCCAAGGCAGATGGCTGAGATGTCAAGTCGATGTGTTCCGTTCTCTCTGCAGAAGAAAGGGTACTCGTACAGGTACAATATCCGGCTGTCGCCCGGTATGTTCCAATATCTTCGGTATTGTAGGGGTAAAGTCTTATCTTCGCAGAGTCTGTGCTTCCAGCACGCTGCGGACCATCGCACGTGGTGACAGAGCCAAGGAGGATAAATCTGAAGGCGTTCTGGACGATGCAAGGAGAAAGGATGGCACGGAAATAAAAGACGGAGTGACGCACTTTCTCTCTTTCAGTCAACCAAAAAAAAAAAAAAAAAAAAAAAAAAAAAAAAAAAAAAAAAAAAAAAAAAAAAAAAAAAAAAAAAAAAAAAAAAAAAACCAGGGGAATAGTTATTGGGTGGCTGCCCAGTGTGTGGAGGCGAAAACAAGTGGGAGACCAGGGAGAAGAAGATGAGGTGTGAGATGTTGAGGTGTGTGTTAAGGTGAGTAGTTGGTGAGGTGGTGGTGACTGGTACAAAGGGCACAAGAGCCAGGAGAGGCAGGAGCGCACCCGCCAACTTAAAAGTACTAGTAATACGGAGTTCAACGAGCGCTTGTTGGCAAAAGCCCATCCTTCGACACCACCAGACCTTGGAGGCACCCTAAACATTGCACAACACCACCATCATCCAAAAGCCTCGTGCAATCGTCGCTAGTTAGGACCAAGTCCAGGACGCATTGAATTCAAGCCATCAGCCAGTCCGCTCCTAGGCGGCTCTGCATCCAGGGCCAGGCCAGCCACACGCACCGGGACCCTCGAGACTTGAGAGCCTAACCTCGAATCGTTGGCGGAGTGGGGAGACGACTTGGAGATGACGAGCCTTGATAATGATAGGAAGAGTCTTTGACAAGCCCGGTGGGGGGGAGATGGTTCGGCCTTGGTTCGTCAACTTGTGTTTCGATGTGCATCGACCGAGGGTCCAATTGCCGTTGACCCCCTGTGCAGTACTGACGGAGCACAACCAACCAACTACTCCGTGCTCTGTGTCTTGTGTCCTTTGTTTCTATCCAGGGCCCCAACTGGACAGGTTGTCTGGGGACGCAAGGATCCCTGGTCGTTGGCCTGTAGGTTGGCACCGTGGAGGGTTGCAGCCCGCCCGTCGTGCAATACGGCACCGCCGAGTGGTAAATCGTCCTTTAATTGTCCAATTATGCTGCCCGTCAAATCTATCAAGTCCCTAGCTGGCCCCCAGCTCTGCCTCTAGTTCAGAAATGCTTCTTTTTACAAGACCGGGGTTTGGGGGCGCCATGTTGGCCTCGCCTCCTAGTATGGGGCTTTCGCTTCATGGTACACCAGACCATGGCGCCAACAGTTCTACAAACGACGGAAATGGGATTTACACGGCGTCCATCCGTTGAATTCTCCTACTGGTGTACACATTTACATCCCTTCCATGGGTATTTTTGGCATAGTTGACGATGAGCTTTGGACCTTGGATGGGCTGTGCTGATCCATAAGCAACTATCGAGGCTGGATTCGACCCCTTCGAGGCTGCATCACGCCACTGAATGCAAGCAGTCCTGCAACATGCGAGAACCACAGCCTAGCACAGGCACAGAGAGCAGTACTCGGGTACTTTAGTGTCTGGTTACGTCTGCTGACACTGGTGGATGGACATGTCCAGTTTCGTCAAGACTCGCTGCCTGCTAAAAGGGGCTGCCAAGCAAAGAACGAGAGCCGTCATGCATGCTTGTCAATACCCGCACTTCTTGAGCAATATCAAAGGAAATTTGCTGTGGGTAAGCACATCCATCGAGAGAGCGCATATTCGGGAAATTGGCACAGATGTCCAAAGCCCGAGGGCGCTAGAACTTAGCAGCAGATTTGAGCTTTGTCGATCAGACGGGATCATCCATCCGCTTTGCCCGGTTTGTCGCATCCTCGCGACAACTTGTCCCCGTACCATGGCTAAATTGATGCCTGCACCTACCCCTCACACACATCTTCCTTGCCCGGACTCAAGAGAGTTTTCTGCGGCAAATTCAAGAAACTCTGTGGGTTCTGGCGCAATTTGAAACAGCATGACAAACTTCCGTCAAGCCTGCGGGCTCTTCGTCTGACACGGTAACGCTCACGACAACTTCGACCTTCCATCGCATCAGCCATGTCGAAACCTGGTGTGGATTGAAGACGCTGGTGACGCACATGCAGCGTAATAAACATATCGTCTGAGGTGGTGTTGCGTCCGGTCAGCGCCAGTGGCCGGTCCGGTTGGGTGCCAAATCATGTTTGTTCTCCCATATGAACTCAACAAGCCTCCATCTGCAACTACCACATCATTGAGGCTAAAATGCGCTTTCTCAAGCCGGGTCCGAACAAACCAGTCAACAGAGGACTATGGTGGCAGAGTTTCAACGCCACAGCATGACGGTCGGGTATTTGCGCGTGCTGAGTTGATTCGGCAACAAGGACGCCCTGTTCTATTGCCTACAGCCCAAGTAGCACCGAGCACAAATACAGCTGAGAAATGATGGGCGCCCACGCAAGGGCCTGGCCAACACTTCCTGTGGTCCATGTCTGGTTTTCTGGCCATGGTGGCTGTTCGTACCTCAAAGAGGTGCCGTCGCACGTGTAGATGGAGACATCATCTGCAAGGCAGAGGTGCCAGATTCTATAAATGTGCACACATGAGCGGCATGGATCAGAACTCAGGTGCAGACGCATATGCAGAAGTAATCTATAGCCCTGTTACAGCATGCAGTGATTGGAGAGCAGCGGTACTGTCACGAGATGCAGTGTCATAACACCGTCACTTTTAGACCTGAAGCACAGCAGCGTAACAGGTATGTGTAAGGGACAAGACCCTCTTTTTCTCATATAACTGAATAGCAAGTCCTTGTATAGCAGAGTGAGGGCTTTACCAAGACATGGCTGCTGCTATTCAAACGTTCCACGCCTGGGAAATGGCCAACTCGGTTCGATTTCCAGGTCCTGACAGTGGGCACGCAAAGGCCAGAATTTGCACAACTCTAGAAATCTGAGCACTGTGTATTTATGTTGGACCCTTCAAGTCTTGCTTGGACTTGCGGTACATACAAAAGCTCCGCGCAGCGTCATGTCAACCAACATCTTGCTTGGCAACCCACCAGTGACCACAACATCACACCGCAACCTGTCCGTGGCTTCGGTATCCTATCGGCTTGAATTTACTAGAGTCGAGTCGGTCCGTCCATGTTGCCATGCATCCTCGCGCTGCCCGCCTCCTGCACCTGGTCTGGCCAGCACCTGATGGGTCGCCGCCTGCTGGATGGGAGGATGTCCCATTCCACCCTGGCATTCCCGTCCTCGACTTGCGTTGTTGTCAGCCAAGACGCCAATGGCGCATCCGTTTCGGGAGACTCTTGCCGACTTGGCCTTGTTTTTGGCGGCTATGTACGGAGTAGTATTACGGAGCGCACTGACTGCTTCTGGCTGTTGTCCGTGTGGTTGTGGGTGCGGGGTGTGCGGCCTTTTTTGCAACCCGCGTGCCTGTCTGCCTGTGGCCCAAACTCCGCCCGCCGGGATCACAACAGATCCTACATGCCAAAGATTCCGAGCTTGTGGATGACATGTTCCGCAAACTGGATGGTTGCACCCGACCAAGCACTTCATCTAAAAAGAGACAAAAAGAAGTAGCCAGACCAAGAACCCGGCTATGGTGTGAAATTGTTTACCAATGCCAAAGTATATTAGCGCGTCCTTGACAATAGGCAGACACTGGACCATTTTGACTTTTGACTTGATGCTGCAAGTAGGTACCTAGGTATGCTCCCGGTGTACGTACAATGTCTAGTAATAAATACCTATTGCGTCCCGACTCTATGCTTTCATGTACGGAGGTAATGCCAGCAACCAGCAGACTCGGGGCGATTTATTCAGTCCGTCCAAGTGGCATTCGACGCTTTACATGTTGCCAGATGGAACCAATCCCATCTCAACGACGTCTGAGCGCGTGTATGCGGCGCTGGGGAACCAAACTACTCACGAGTTGGTGTTGCCCCGCTGCTACATTGCCGGGCACTGAAGCTGCCACTGAAGGGAACGAACGAACTGGCCTTGCGGACGCATTCGGCATCCGATACCGACCCAAACTATCCAAATGCAAATTCCACACTCGATATCGAATGCCTTAATCTTGGACTTTACTCTCCGGGCTCTGTTAGCTTCTTGGATTGGCAACCATGATGCGTCAATCAAGTCTACTTCCAATGGATCTCGCCTCACGGCTTACACGGCAGATACAAACATATTCCGAATCAGCGCAATGCATGTCATTTCAAATACTCGGTATTGACTGACGGAAAGTAAAAGACAAAACTAAAAGCACAAACTTTGAAATGCAACAAGTCCAGCGACCCAGCGATTCCAGTCCACTTCCCATTTCCAGACGGTGGATTTCCTTCTCCCATTACGGGAATCCATGTGAGTGAACTTTTGTTTATTTCTTCTCGTCAGGTCGAGGAGGGCCACCGGTGGTCGGTAGGCCCATGAAAATCTTGAAGTAATCCTACAAAGAAATACCATTAGTGACGACATGGCAAAAAAGGGAGGTGGGGTTCGTGACATGGGCTGAAAGCTTACATAAATCATCCACTGGAGACCAGTCAAAGTACCAATCATGACAATACGGACGGGGAGGCCGTTCCAGAGTCCTCCGAATCCAATTTCCCCGTAAATCCGGCTTATGACGGTTCCAAATGCCTCGCCAGGTTTTCTATACGCGTTCAATTTACTAACCATGACATCGGCTGGGTGGGAGACAACGGCACAGAGAATACCAGCGAGATATCCACCGGTGAAGGAAACACCGGTTTGCGCAGCCTTGCCATAGTCGCTCTTTTGTCCGGGGAGACGGTCGTAAATCTTTTCAACAATAGTCTCAAACGAAGCAAATTTCATCATGGTATAGGGAATCTGACGTCCCCACAATGGATACAGTCCCTTGTAAAGCCCGGCCCAGCCTTCTTTGGCGACAATGGTGTTGATGCCATGCAGGGTGCCAGTATAAGGGTTGGGAATGGTGCCCTGCATGCGCACCTTGACAGCTTCAAAAGGACAGAGAGCAATGTCGGCAAGGAACTCGGCGGATGCAGAAGCGGCCAGGTAAAGACCAGTTTTGTACTTGTACGCAGCTTCTGGGCCAGCAATGTCGCTGTACGTCTTCTTGAAGTATTCATACCAACCGTACTTGAAGGATCCCTGGGCACTGTACCCAAAAAATGTAGGGCTCCAGCCGGTCATGATGCCGCGGATCCCTTGGGCGCGGTAAATCTTGCCCCAAGCCTGAAAGTTGCTGGTGTAGAGTTTCGAGTCGACTTGACGACGGGTTTTTACGAAATCGAGGGGTGTTACAGCCGTGTGTGTAAGACCCTATGCAATCAAACATTGCCATGAGCGAAAAGTACACACAGATATACATATACACATGTTGCTCAAAAGCAGCAAGAAAGAGGGAAAGACTCACACACGCCATGAGACCGCCAAAGGTGCAAGCAGCGTAATACTTGCCGGAATACAGCTCAATCTTGCCGGCCTTGGCCTGGGCAGCGGAACTGGCCTTTTCGAATTCCTTTGTAGCTTCGGCGCCAAGCTTGTGTGCCTTATTCTTTGCGTCTTCGACAACGGAATACACGCCGAAGCGGTCGGGCCGAGCTTGGTATGGCGTCGGCTTGGACATGCTGGTCTCTATTGGAGTGTACATGGTTCCCTTGAGGGCTTCAGGTCGCGGGAAGAGGTGTGACATGATGACTCGGGGTTGGTGAAACGAGTCAAAGCTCTGACGCCAATTCTTTTTGTTGCGCTTATGGTCTCCCGGAGTTCGACGATGGTCAATTGAGGGATGGATCTGAAAGTGTGTAACAAAAGTTAGAGTAATTACATTTCCTTCCAATTGCGGCTCCGTAGGTCAGCAACAGCACCCGGGCACAATGGCTGATATGGCACTCGGCAAACCATGAGGCTAGGGCAGATCCCTTCTTTTGCCTGAGAGGTGAGGCAATCGGTAGAGCACAATATCTCTCTAGCTTGGGTTGTGTTGATGCGACTCACCGAAATATGCGTAAGCGGGATCCAGGTCCCGACAGTCTCCGAAGATGAGAGGCTTAGGCGAGCTACGGCCAGGATAGATGAGTCCCACGAAGATGTTTGAAGGGGAAAAAAGTCGAGACAGGAACCAGAGGTTTGTTGACGCAGCAAGAATGGCAAGAATGGCCGGGTTGCAGCCACCCACTGGTGAGTGAGACTCACGGAGTTAACGGGCTGCCAGGAGCTCTGGTTGGAGCTTCGAGATGTGACTGGTTGTTGGCTGCAACGGTGACATCACTCTGCCGTCTGATTCAAGGCAGGAGCCCCCTCTTCGAGCGGTGAGGCTTGGGAGACGTACACGGTACGAGCGTCGTGTTTGTAACCTATTTTTTTCTTTTTCCTTGAGGTGTTCTCTGGCTTGGGGACCCTTTGTGCTTCACCAGCATCCTGTGTACAATTCCTTCCCTTTGCGATGCTATCGCGGTGCCATGGACCGAAGTTCAGTCGATTGTGGAGTCACCCTGCTCCGTACTTGGCGGCCCCGCCTGAGCTTGTGGGGGATGTGATGTGCAGGGCGGCAGGGCCAGGATTCCGACCTGGTCCGTGAGTTCAAATAAATGTACTATCAGAAGCGAAAGTTCCAAGTAGCTGACAATTTGCCTGCACAGAATCACAATGCAATCTAGAATTGCATTTAATGAAGGCCAGAACCAAGGCTATTGGGATCCTCGCCGTGGCAATTACATACTAAGAAAGTACCTACCTAGGTAGTACTAGGAAGGAGAGATGGAGCGTTCCAATATTGGGAAGCGACACCCCACATGAACTCACGCCATTCTGTGCCAGACCGTCGGACCTTGTCTTTTTTCCTTTCATATGATACGCCTGCAAACCTCATATGCCACTGCGTGCCGACGTCTTCCCAGTTCAACGAACCGTACTTTCGTCGCCAAAGAAAACTATTACTTCAGAGTAGCCGAATCCTCTGGCCCAACACCTATTCCTGAAGCATGGCTGCGCAGACCGCAACCACCCCCGTTGTCGTGAATGGCACACCCAAATCCTTCCAGTCCAAATGGTCCTCTCGGTATCGCGGGGTATGTCCGAGTGGCATCTTTTTTTTTTTTTTTTTTTTTTTCTCTCTACTTTTTTTTTTTTTTTTTTTTTTTTTTTTTTTTTTTTTTTGCCTTACCAAGAAACCGCCCTCCCCCAGCTGTCTCTCTGGACAAAAAGCAATCATTAAACTGCAAATAATATATCTGACACATCACCAGGCCACCGTCCAGGACCTCGAGCCCCCCGCCGCCCTGTCCCTAAACCCCTCCGATGCCATCTCACTCGCCCTCCTGTCGGCCTTCGAGCGCGAGTACACCCACCTCACCATCGTCGACTCCGAAACCCGCGCTCTCCTCGGATACATCATGTCCGAGTGGGATTTTTTTTTTTTTTTTTTTTTTTTTTGCCTTACCAAGAAACCGCCCTCCCCCAGCTGTCTCTCTGGACAAAAAGCAATCATTAAACTGCAAATAATATATCTGACACATCACCAGGCCACCGTCCAGGACCTCGAGCCCCCCGCCGCCCTGTCCCTAAACCCCTCCGATGCCATCTCACTCGCCCTCCTGTCGGCCTTCGAGCGCGAGTACACCCACCTCACCATCGTCGACTCCGAAACCCGCGCTCTCCTCGGATACATCTCCATTCCCCACCTCCAGGCACAACTAGAAAGTGGCAAGGTAAAGCCTGAAGACCCCCTCTCCTCCGCCATGACGCACTTCCAGCGCCGAAACAGACGCTACAAGGTCATCACCATGGAGACGCCCCTCGAGCAGCTGGAGGAGTTCTTCCGTGGCGGCCAGACCGACGGCCCCTGGAAGGAGGAGTTTGCCGTCATCACCGACGAGAATAGAAGATTTGTCCTTGGCGTTGCCACCGCACAGGACTTGGAAGAGTTTGTCAAAAGAAGGCCGGCTTGAGAAGAGGGGGAGGGAATCGCGAAAAGGGAGGATATGGGACTGAAAGAAGTAACATACATCTATCAAAGAAGGAGGTGACGTCAGTGAGGAGCGAGATATACCCGATGTGAGGAAATGTTCTCTTGGTCAGGGATCTTAGCATTTGTTAAGAACAATAGCATCCACCGAAACATGTATACATCCCACAAGACCAGGACCACACGTGCGCTACGTCGCATGTACATGTCCTAAGCTGAATATAAATTGAGCAGCAACGTTGACAAACCATTGTCTTTGAAACAAGACATTTGCCGCAGTAGGAACTGGACTGATATCTTCTCGTCAAGGCCTTCGAGTCACAAGTAAGCGGCTTCCACAAGCCAAGTTGCCTACGTCAAGTATCAAGCAGCAACGTATCCGACCAAAAGCGTCCTTGTATTGTAACTACAGTCTCTAGCGAGATGCATTCATCCAGTGTCGAGTATGCCCCAATATCCGGCCGTACAGTTGGGGCTAAAAAGGATAGGACTTGACAAGATCAGGTCCCTGGCGTGTTTCACTCTATACTGTAATATACCATAGCATACGAGTGTATGCGTAATGGGGAGAATATGTCCTGCCAGACTGTATACGTCATGGAGTAACGTGCAGTGCCCAGGTGCTCTTCTTTACCTAGGTAGTCCCTGCATCAGCCAAGCTTCGCGAGCAAAGCACAGCAAAGCACTGGGTGTAAAAAACAGTCACAAGCCGCCATGTGCGTTCGTGATAGTCCCAAGCCCAAGTCGACACGGCGCGAAAACTGCAAATTCCAACACGCAGTCGTCGCTGCTGCATGGAGCCCAACGGCTATACCGGCCATGCTCTCATTCGTTCAACAAACCAGACATGGACGTAATTCAGACTCTGTGATGTATTCACGTGCCCCGGAGCTGTCACTAGCACATAACCATGACTCATAACATACTGTGTGCAAGACCAGTGCCGTATTTGGCCAAATACTTTTTGCTCCTCGCTGAATAAATTACTCCCCACGAGTACATCTTCTTGAGCAACTCTACTCGATAGCATTATGTTTTCCTCATCACACAGCTGCTCAGCTATTCATCTAGCCATAAACACCAAAACGCCCACTCATGGTCACCCACCATGATACCACCCCCAAACCCCCATCCCCAAGGAAACAAATGTGCTCCATGGCGCTCCCAAACATATAAATATTCAAAATTTCATGCCCAATTTCCAAGATCCGGGCCTTCCCCTGTATATCGATGTATATCCTGTTGGAACCCCCGTAAAAAAATACGCGCGCACTCAGAAATTAGCCACCCGCAACCAAAGCCAAGTTGTTTCGGTACAGGCGGCCGCTGACGTTAAGGGAAGTGAGAGAGAGAGAGAGAGATAAAGAATATAGGCAAATCAAACAGCTCCAAGTAGCTTCCTCTCAAGACATATAATAAAATAGAAGAACGGACTGATATCAGCGCTGCTGTCTAGTAATCGATCTCTTCAGCACTGGCTATAGCCCTTTGCGTCTTGCCACCCGCGGCATCACCTTCAAGGGGCAAGTCTCCGTAAGATTGTTTGTATCGCGCTAGCTCCTGCTGTTGCTTCACGAAGTAATCAAGTACCAGAGACATAGGTCCACGAAGGTCATTGAGTTCTTTTATAATCGGTTGTCCAAGAGCCAGATGTCGCATTACAAGAGTGGAGACACATGTCTATCAAATTCGTCAGCACGGTAGCAAAGAAGAGGGACCTGGCAGGCGGTTTTACTTACCTCTATTCTGGTCACTTGATGTTCCATAAAGTTGAGTAAGAACTTTTCGGTGACTTCGCCACCTCTGGATTTTATCCGTTCCAAGAGTTCGGTCTCGGGTGGTTGAAGGCCGGATCCCCTAACTTCTTCGAGTGTACTGCACAGCATTTCCAGACGAAGGCTGACTCTCCACAGTGCCCAAATGCTTTCTGGGTCGAAAGATAACTCACTACCAGGAGCAAGAATGGCAGGTCTGTCAAGTCCTTCGTCCCGTCGCTCATGCTGCTGGTGCTGATCTATCCGCCCAGCCAAAGCGTGGGGATACAAAGAGTATACAACTTCAGGATTTTCCAGTCCCTTGAGCTTCTTCTCTCCCATCTCCTTGACTTCGAACCCCTGCGAGGTAAGAGATCTTAGGTCCTTTCGGATAGTGGCTGCAAACGACTCGTCTTCGAATGTCTCCTCGGATCCACCGGAGCTATTACGCTCGGTGTCTTGATAATTTTCCAGACACCGCTGAATCTCCGAAATGAAATCAGAGGAGACGGTGATCTGACCACCATCTGCCACCGCCGAGATTCTGGATGCTTTGTTGACCATGGGGCCGAAGTAATCCATGCGGCGTGTCACAGGATCTGTCTCACTTACGCAATCTCCGAAATGGATACCCATTCTCACAGACAACCCCTTGAAAATCAAGGCACCGTCCTTATCATAGATGGGCTGGCACGACATGGAATTCAAAACTTCTGACGGCCAACTGACATCCAGAAGTTCCATTTGGACCGCAAAGCACCAGAGAAGTGCAGAGGTTGCTGTGGGAAACGAGACCATAAAGGCATCACCTTCAGTCTTGACTTCGTATCCTCCTATTCTGCGTAATTGACGCCGCATAACCTCATTGTGCAGCTTGATGGCGGATCTCATTGCGCTTGAATACATCTCCCAGAGTGTTGTCGAGTTCTTGATATCGGTGAACACAATAGAGACATTGCCAGTTGGCGCAGGAATCTCAGCTTCGAGTCTGTTGAGTGACGAGTCCAGCACGTCTCCTTTTGCTTTTCCTCGTCGTCTGGTAGACAATACCTGAGTATCGTCGGGGATACCTGAAGGATACAGAGACATGCTAGTGCCGCGATGCAAGCGAGATCGTTCAACTCTCCTCTTGAGGTCGGCAACGCTAATCATCATGACCATAATTTTACCAGACGCGCCGTATGCCATGGCCAAATCACGCAATTTCTGGGCTGCTCTCATGAGGTCCTGCCGCTCAGATCGGGCGATATCTGTAATGAGTCCTGGAGCAAGATGCTCCCAGAGCTCACTGGTGGCCAGTAAGATGATTTCATCATGTTCCTTGATTGTCATCCTGTTGACATGGGGAGCCGCCTGTACTGCCGGCATCAAATCAACGTAGCCGAAAGCTCGGGAGACCTGAAGCAAATCATTCAGTCTGCCGTTGCGGGATACCCAACCCCCGGCTTCTCTGATTCTCGAGCGTTCTGATGGCTCAGCCGGATCGTGTTTACGTGTGAGAATCTCGTGTTTGCCATCTGTCTTGATGACCATAGCTTGGACATCACCGACGTTGGCAACATAAAGCTCAGTGCCACGCAGGTACAGAACTGTAGCTACGCCGCCAGAGTTCAAATCCTCTTTGCTGAGTACGACCGGTTGCGCTGATCCCCTATGAGCCGCCTTGGATCTTTCCTCAGTATGTTGGACGGCCACTGTGACCAGGTCTTTGTTCAAGCCCAAAAACGCTCTTCGCAATGCGTCGGTTGGAGTATCATCCGGTCTATTCTTTATAGCCTTCAGTTCCATGGCAAATATGTGACCAAAATTCTCATGCAGGTACTTTGCAATCTTGGAACCACCACTTGACAGGGCTTGACCGTCGAATAGACCCAGGAGCATCTCTGTTTCGGACGAATTGAATCGGGGTACCACAAGATCTACCGTGGACAAGTGCTCGTTCTTGCCCAGTGTGTCCGCCATGCCGTAGGGGAGGTGGCCTGCCAATGAGCCAGACGTTCGAACTCGTCTGTCCTCGCTTTGGTCGGGGATGCTGGGCTGCGTCAAGGTGACATCCATGAGGCCCAGAATTCTCAGGTTCAGCAACCTGCTGAAGTCGGTGTACTGCTCTCGGTTCACTGCACCAGGTCCATCTGGGCCTCCCCATGCCGTCTGCTTGATTTCTAGTCGCTTGTTGCCGGAAAGGTTGAGGTACCGCAGATTAGGATTCAGATTCCAATTCCAATCGTAGGGGACGTTTGAAATATTGTACTTGAGATAGTTATTGCCACAGTCCAAGACAGCTAATTTTTTGGCCCTCGAAATGTCTGCCGGCAAATTGGTGAATTTGTTTCCGTTGATGTACAAGGTCTGCAAAAGACTCGACTCCTCCAAATCGTCGGCGGGCAGCGACGTCAGGCCGTTGCCAGACAGGTACAACTCCACAAGCTGGGGCCAGTTCTTGATCGATCTTTGAGGCATATCGCTAATTTCATCATTATACGAGAGGTTAAGAACACGCAATTCGGAAAGCAGAATGATCTGGTCAAAAACATCGTCATCCAACCGGTTGTCAGCAATATACAAGTTTCGAAGTGATCCTGCAAAAGTATTGGTGAGCCTCGAAGAAAGTCCAGAATCCTTCCTAGTGGTGGTTGGCGGAGGAGTAGTAGAGTTGGTGGCCTGAGAGGCTGCTCGAGAAACAACAGACGTCTTACGCCCACCCTTTCCGTAGACAGACACCACAGAGCTCTTCCTGTCCGCCGTAGCCAAGACTGGTGATGGGCCAACACTGAGGAGAGTACTGGAGGCTTGGCTTGGGCGTCGTTCGTCAGAGAGGTCCTCGGAGCTGGGAGTTGACGGTATTGGATTGGGGGGTAAAGGTTTGCCATTTTGTACAGTAGGAGGCCCTGTTGATTCTTCTCCAGGGACTCGCGGAGGTCTCGACGCGGGTTTGGGGAATGCGTCAAGCACGTTTGATGACGCGTTGAAGGTCTCGAGCTTGTTGGCCCACCAAATTTCCATGGGCAGTTTTGAAATGTTGTTCCCTCGCACATCCAGGACCCGCAGTTCAGTGAGACAGCCAATTTGGGGAGGCAGTTCACCCACAGAATTGTTGGCAATGCTGAAGTGCTCTAAGCGACTAAGTGTTCCAATCTGCTGGGGCAAGGAAACAAAGTAGTTCCTATCCAAAACTAGCGTCTCGAGATTAACCATGTTAGAGAAGGCAGAATCAATGCTGGCAAGTTGA